GGTTCTCCCTTCTCTGTGCTAATATGGAGTTGAAAGTGTTTGAAGAAGGAGGGAAGTTAGGCCCTTAAAGGAAGCATGTAGTTTGCAAATGATTACTTCAATGAAAAAGTTCTCAATAATTGATTTGTCTAAGTGGATACCAATATGAATAAAAGAGTTCTCACTCAAGAAGCTTTCAAAACAGCATGATACACTAGCAGGCAGGCTACCTATAATATTAGGCAGTGAATAAAGGGTCCAGGAGATGATGATCACCTCAACATTCCCATTTGAATGTCACCGTTAATGGGCTCTTTCTAATTTTATTCCAGAACCTGTACCTGCCAATAATTCTCACATTAGGGGTTTCTTGGTGTGGTTGAAGGAGTTTGATGAAAAAACCATGCATCTGTATATGTGTGTGGAAATAGGTGGATATATTCTCAGTATGGGTATAAATATATTTTACAGGTTAAATCACTCTATAAAATATTTTTGTCAAATACCTTATTCTGATATTACTTACATCTAGATTTAAATCCATACTTTCCTAGGGAAACATGTTATCTTTTACTATTGTCTCAGTAGGTGGCAGGCATTCAAATGCTGTTTTTCTAACTCAAAGGAATTAAGGTCCCAAAGCCAATGAAAATTGATATATAGGAAGAGTGGCAACAATAATTCATGCTACAATGTGTAAGAAAGTAGAAAGCATCCCTACCAATCTTTAAAATGTTTGGCTGAGAGGTATAGCTGGGTGGCAGGAGAAACTGATTAACCTTCTACCCCTTAGGAGATTCCTCAGACATATAATCTGGCTAATACTATGAGGTATACAGTATTTAATAGTTGTTCATCTCAGAAAAAATTAGTTATTGTAGGAATATCACTGATAGATTATGGCTCTCAGAAAGCCTGGGGAATAGAACCTTAATGTAGTTCACTTTCTCTCCTTTGTGTTTTGCCAGCTTCTGGTGGAAGTCTTACCGAGCAGGTTAAGTGAGCAGAAGATGAGCTAAATGAATAGGAAGAGGAGACATGAGCATCTTGCAAAATTAAATACCCTGTGGAGATACTTGTCCATTTAGTAGCTTTAGTCGCTTAGCACGGGGCCTCATCCTGTGGGGGATGTAGAAGCAATATAAGAACTGGCCTCCCCATCCCCAGAATCAACTTCTAATTGGAGATACAACATGAGAGCACAGGCAGTAATTAAACAACAAGGTCGGAAAGTGCCATGATGCAAGTGCTGAATGGATGGCTAGGGAAGGACAGAGAAGGAGCCAAGTGTTGTTTGGATGGCAGCAGAAGGCTCCCGGGAGGGGCCTGAGCTGGGCTTTTGGGACAGGGAGGTTAAGGTTAGCAGAGGCCACCGGAAGGAGCAATATTCCAGAATGAGTTGGTTTTGAGTTAGAAATATAGCTGAGGGCCTCAGAGGGTAGGAGGAAGTTGGTCTGGGTGACGAGGACTAATGTGGAGAATTATGACAGATATGGTTAGAAAGGCAAGAGTGACCAGAATACGAATTTTCATGGAATTCAGGTCAAGAGTTTGGATTTCATAATTTAGCAAATGGCATGATGGAATCTATATAGCGTGAGTAGCTGGGAAGCAGTATTTAAAACAGAATGGAGAGAAAGTTAAAAGCAAGAAGACCAGTTGAGAGGCAGTTGTCTGAGGTTACAAATGACGGAAATACCTGGATTGGGATGGTGCAGCTGAGAAGTGGTGAAGGATTGATTAACTTTATCTTGCAGAGGAAGAAGGCTTAGAGAGTGAACAAGAAGGGCCAGTGTACTGACTTTGTACGGGTGGTTTGCAGAGAGGATAGTGGAGTTCTTAGGGGAAAGAGAGGTAGGAGTCTGAACTAGATTATAGGGAAGATGAGTTTGGTTTCAGACAGGTTAAATCAGACCTAAGGGTTGTACTTCAAAGCAGTGTCAGGAACACATTTGAAGTCACAGACTGGAATTTAGTGAGGGACTAAGGCATATCTAAGAATCTGTCTCATTCATCGGGGAAATAAAATTAGACTGAAGCCAGTAGACAGGCCACAGCCTAACTATGAGGGCTAACTGCTATTTAGTTGGAACTATAATATCTTATATAAAATTTAATAAGATTCAAATTCTAGCTACTTGATATGAATGCAAATGATGATCAGGCTTTTAGAGATAGGTGAGAGACAAGAGTAGCACCCTCATATTATGTCATTAAAACAGATTCAAGTCCTTTGGTGAAGCATTACTCATAGTACTTTTGAAATGTTAGATATTTTAAGATTACAGACAGGTTATCTAATCCAATTTATCTACCTATTGTTGAGATTACTTAAATTGCATTTAATTGTGTTTTCATTGCTTTCTCATTTCTTCCTTCTAGACTGAACTTATCTCTTGTTATATTCAGACACTTAGCTTAAATTACCTTCATTAAAAATTTTGGAAAAATATAATCTTTTATTTCTTTATGAATAAAATAGTCTCAAAGAGAGAATTAAGGATGGACACTTAGAAAACAGTTCAAGGAGAAAATTCTAATACCTGCCAGAAGTAATGAGTAGAATGAGAGCTTTTAATGTAAGTTCTCACAGACATGGGATAAGGAATTTTGGCACCAGATTTTCTGCCAATGACAGAGCTAGGTGTGTATCATTTACTTTGTTAAATTAGAGATGGCATCCTCTCCTCTAACAGTGGTATATAATAGGCTCAAGAAAATTAAAATGTACCAGTCCTATTGCATGGCAGTAATGACTTGGGCTGATTGTAAAATTAGTTGTAATGGCATGCGTCACTATATTTTAAAATAAAAATGTACTATGAATGTGCAATGAAGTAGAAAAGAAACTTGATTATCAGCAAGTATTTACTTCAAGGTAGGTGAAAAGTAAACATGGAGAACATTCATGACCAAAAAAACATGTCATGAATGTATCAGTGTGTATATTATGAGGGCTCCAGGGCCCATGATTCTAAGAATAACTGAACTCCCTCCAAATTCCTTTGGCTAGTCTGCTTAGGTACTCTCTGGGAATCTCCTTAATAAGGCACTGCTATTCTTAGGTGCCCTGAGAACCCCTTCTTGGTGAGAGTATTAACTTTGGAAGAATTCTGTGGCTCTTAAATCAAGCCACAGAATTCTTCTGTGTACCTACCACTCTTCTTTAGGTACTTCTACAGGCACCTATACAACTCAACCTGCTGGTACCACGGGGCCATTCCAATGTAAAAGGAAGGGATGGTTAAATACTTTCTCCCAGTATTTATTCTCCCCTTCTTTCATCTAATAGATTATTCAGTTGGGCTATGTTTACCCAGGAAAAAAGACTAGATTTCCCAGCCTCCCTTGCAATTCAGTATAGCTACATGACCAAGTTTTGGCCAGTGGAATATAAGCAAAAGTATAGTAATGGCGTGGGCTGAAAAGAAGCAGAATATATTAGAAGATTATATGAACTCATCCTCAGTTGGCTTAGCCTTCTTTCACCTCATCACTGGTTGTAGAAAACTTTTTGTAACAGTTCAGATTAGGTCTTGGTACAAGTGACAGAACCCCCAAAACCATTGGCTTAAATAAGGATAGACAGTTATTTTGCTTTCCCATAAAACCCAGGAAGTGGTTAGCTCAGGACTGGAGGGAAGGGCAGGTCATCTCTATTCCACGAAACCTTTAATGACCCCAGGTTCCTTCAGGCTCATGCTCTGTCATCCTGAAGGTGAGACTTTCTTCCTCAGGCACCAAGATGGTAGCTCTCGCATTCCAGACAGCCAGCAGGATATAATAAAGAACCATAAAGAAGGGCAAAGACGTATGCCAACTATCTTGTTAGGAAAGATCCCAGAAGCTGCCTTTCTATACTTTTGCTTATATTCCACTGGCCAGAACTTGGTCATGTAACTGTTATACTGAACTGCAAGGGAGGCTGGGAAATGTAGTCTTTTTTCTGAGTAAACATAGCTCAACCGAATAATCTATTAGATGAAAGAAGGGGAGAATAAATACTGAAAGAAAGTATTTAACCATCTCTTCCTTTTACATTGCAATGGCCCCATGGTATCAGCAGGTTGAGATGTATAGGTGCCCATAGAGCTACCTGAAGGAGAGTGGTAGATGCAGAGCAGTGCAGCAGTGGCTAAGGGCATGCACCTTAGAGTCACACTACCTGGGTTGGATTCCAGATTTTTCTCAGATGTAAAGGGGCAACAATTAGTACCTTTCTCTTAGAGTTGCTGTGATTATTGATTGAAATACTGAATATAACACATTAAGCACGGTATCTAACACTTCAGAACCATTTGATAAATGTTATTAGCTGTTATTATTAAGAGTAAAATGAAAAAGTTTTGAGCATCCACACATATAATTTTTCTGTGCATCCCTACAACACAAAGTATATATTTTATTTTCCAGATATGATAAGATACAGGGTATTTTTGTTTCATGTGCATGCTTGGTTGCATGCTTGGTTCCTAACAAATCATATGAGTGATTTTTAAAAATTGTCCATGGAGTCTGCATGTTTCATTGACACCATTCTACAGGCTCCTACTTTTTCATACTAGTTTTGAAGTGAAGCATACTTTTACATTAAGAATTTACAGGATCCCCCTTTCTACTGATATACCAAAGTAGATATTGGGCACGACATCACAAGGAGAAGGCCATCCTTGGATGGATAGATTCAAAGGTGGCAACATGGAGTGGGTATGCGGTGTTTGCCTGGAAAAGGACAGACATCTCTGAATTGCAAAACTCATGTCAATCAAAGTGTATAAGTTTGGCTGCTGCTTCATTTAGAAATGGTGATAGAAAGACTATACTTTCAGGCATCGTTTCTATGGTTTGTTATTAGAAATGGTGATAGAAAAGAAGTGGGTAAAAAATGAAGCTTGATATTCCAACGTTGATGTGACGGTTTTCTTATGATTACAGACAAGAAAATAATTGTATTAAGATTTTTTTTTTCTTTGCCAATACCTAAATGCTCCTTTGCTTTTCTTTTTCTTTCTTTCTCTAAGCCCCTTCTTTGTTCTGTGGCTTTTCTTTTGTAACTCCTCCAGACTACAGCTTTGTTCCCCCTTCTTCCACTCCTTTCTGGTCAGGTACTGCTTTACTGCTTTTATATGTCTCTTCAACTTGCTTCTGTTTGCAAATGAAATATTTTGACTTCTGTGTATGGCTTCTCATATAGACACATCTCCTCACAGACGATCCCCCGAGTTCCATTACCACCATGCAATTTACTCTTCTCTGTCATTAAGTCATTGTTTGTCATGACATTTCACTTCCCTGGTTTCTGCGTGTGTGCTCATGCCATGTAGTTTAGTGAGACATTTTATAATGTGTCTGTTGGGGAGAAGTTGGAGAGGGATGGGGCTTTGGAAGCATAAAGGGGGCTGAAGTGCTCCCTTCATCCCCCTTTAAAAAGTAAAATGATTTTTTTTTTTCTTGAGGACCAGGAATTTTAATTGAGAAAAGCCAGTGTTTATATATTTCCATTAAGAAAATAAATAGAATCAAAAGCCCAGCTTTGTCTCCAAATATAAGAGTAAAATTCAGTCCACATTTGCTTGATGCCCATCAGTTCTCCCCTCTTCAGTTTGTGCAGAGGCATTTTGGTCTTGATTTTTGTCATTAGCCTGAGAGTATAATGGATGTTTATGTGACATTTAAGGGAGGACATTATGGCTAGGTAAAGTATATTTTAAAAAATTAATCTGCAAGTCCCAATAAAATCATAGAATTTAGAACTAAAAGGACCTTGGAAGTCATCTAGTGCAAACGTTTCATTTTATAGATGAGAAAAATGTGGCCTAGAGGTGCTAAGAGACCTGTGCAAGGTCACACAGTTAAGTTGATGATTGGGCTTCTCCATCACAGGGGTGTTTTTATGTGCACTGACTTTAAGAGTCGTGCGCCCCAGCAATGAGACAGTTTTCAGTAAGAAAACCATTAAAGTGGTTTGTGTCCTGAACAGTAAAATAAAATGACCTATTTTCACTCCCTTTACAGTTTTGAAATCTACAGCATTGCCACTCGTTTATCTTATGATCGACACCTGGAGACTAAAAACATTTCTGTCATTACAAAGCCGTGAATAATAGGCCAGAGATCCCCGTCACCAAGGGGGCAGGTTCTTCCAGGGTAACACGGGCCATAACTTTGGCTGCCTGGGCACCGGGAACTGTTAAAAATACAGATGGGTGGCATTTCCCCATTTGTCTCTTTTTCTTACACCTAAGTTCCTTTGCCATTTAAGATTTATAAAGTCTCGCCAATCTCAGATGAGTGATTCTAAGAATCACTGAACATATAATTGAAAATACTTTATAACCCCAAAGAGCAACAGGTAGAGAAGTTAATATAAAATGTGTTATGAAACACCAGAGACTAACAAACATGTACAGCTTGAATAGAGTTTTCCTTTCGGAACAGGGTGGGCAGAGACAGGGAGAAAGTTAGTTCCTTTGTTACCATCCAAAAATGAAAAAAAATGAACAAAGGAAGTGAGCACCTTGATATCTTGTTTTTGATTAGATACTTCAGTAAAGGTTTTCTGTAAGGCATTATTTGTTTGAAAGGAAGATGGTATATGGATGGTGTTTGTGTGTTCTTTCTGGACCTGATTCATGCTGTTTCACATAAGTGGAATTATATATAAAACAATAACTGAGTTTCCCCCCAAATAGTTTTAATATAAAAAGCCTAGTTAGGGGGAAGGGACCACTTAACCAGAAATGATGACATGGATTTGACAGGAGACTTTCATCGGAGTTGTTTTGGGTATTAGTGAAAGAAGTCACTAGATAAAAACATAAAGCTTTACCTTCAAGGTGCTAGTTAGAAATAGATTAGTGTGCCATCAATAGGAAATTTATGCCAAAGTTATTTTAGAGACCGTCTCCTTAGATAGTAACCTAGATACTAATCAGTTTTTTATTTTTATTTATTTCTTAACAAAGCCTGGTCCCTATTTTGAAGTTCTTATGAAGAATGTGAAAAAAAAAAAAAACAGTGGTTCTTTAAATGTTACGAAATGAATTTGCCTACATCTGATTGAATTGAAACAGCAATTCTGCTGCTTTCAATCTCCTCTGCCATTATCGCTGGTCTGTAACGAAACCATGACTGTGCATTTGATAGCATCAGTCACATTCATCTGATTAGGGTTCTTATGGTTGTTAACCAGCTTCAAGCCAACCCTGACTCCCCATCATTTTCTTACAGTATTGAGCCCCAAAGTGCTGGGCATCGCCATCGCTCGCTATGACTTTTGTGCAAGAGATATGCGAGAATTGTCCTTGCTGAAAGGAGATGTGGTGAAGATCTACACGAAGATGAGTGCAAACGGCTGGTGGAGAGGGGAAGTGAACGGCAGGGTGAGTCGTCCTCTCCACGTGGTGGTGCGCATGAAGGAAGGGGATTGGGCAGGGGTTGCCCCCCATTGTGATGCTGGGACAAGCCCCTGGACCACGTGGCAGCCTTCAGCCCACAGACCCCTGGCCCCTGGAGACTGCACCTTGCCGATACGAGCCATTCTCTAGAAATGTGTTGAATGAATATGATAGTGACATAAATAAAGTTCACCAAGCAAGTTGGTGGCTTTCTCTTCGGAAAAGAGTTGAGGAGCATTTCAGTTCTTTTTATGCCAAAGCCTTAGAGCATAAACTGTATGTATATTGTAAAATATCTGTAAGAGCTGCTGATCTAAATTGGTGAGAATGGGGCATAGTACCTCTGTCTTTTCATCCTGTTCTACAGCAGAAATAGGAATCATTATGCAGTAGAGCCCCCAGTATTACATTTAATTTGCATATTTATTTGTGTGCTAGTGGATTAGAACACCGTTTAAGCTTATTTTATTCCTCTTTCTCTATCATTCACTCTATTAGGCTTCTAAGAGCAGTTAAACCAATCTTCTTTACCTACAAGGGGCATAAAACCCTAGCTTAATTGGGGTGTTATGAAAACAAAATACTCTGCAGAATTCTTTGAAGTGCCAGGGAAAAAGTCATGTTACAATGTTGGTTGCTTTTCTTTTTCAGGTGGGCTGGTTTCCATCCACATATGTGGAAGAGGATGAATAAATTCCAATCCAGCATTGCACCCCGCACCAAAAATGTCAGAGAAGGGATAAACAGAAGCCTGCACAGCATTGTGAATTAACTGAAGTGTTTAAAAAGCTGCATTTCTGGCTGTTCAACATCCTCCCTCCTTAACTCCTCCTAAGTCTTAATGCTGGGATTTCTAAAGATGCTGGTAGTGACAGATTAATGGCTTGCCTAGAGCTGTGCAAGAAACAGCCTGCCAGTCTGTCATTGTCAGGGACCAGGGCAAAGCCAAAAGCTGCTCTTCCCCAAAGAGCTCTGCGCACACACTGGTTCATGTTTCTCCTTACTTCATCAGTCAGACACCACAAATGCCAGCTGTTAGTAAGTGTTTAATGCATATTTACTTTATTCTCGCATGCCATTCACCAGAATTTTTGATGGCACAAGAAGCAGAAGTTTAATTTTGCTTTGCCCAGTAGGAAGAAATATTAGAGTTCTGCCATTTGGGCAGCTCACTGGAAAGATCCAGCGTTACTTGTCTTGAATTGTCCAACAAGGTGACTCATACCCAGCAAACACTTTTCCCCCCAGATCAGATTTTACTCATGATAAAATATAAAAGGCAAATAAATGCTCAGGTTTGCATCATAAGTGATATATCCCTGAAGGGTTTTAATTATTCATTTGATGCCCTGATTATATTTGCAAACTTCCTTATGAAAAGTGAAAAAAAAAAGCACATAAAAGAGAGTGTCTTCATATGAAATCTTCCTAACCTTCATGATTTCATAGGTTATTTTGGCGGTGTAGACTTTATGAAATAATCTTGGCAGGGTATATTATGGGTAGTTACCAATTACCTGAGTAAAGTGGCATTGTTTACAGAAACAGATCAAGGGCTATAATTGATATAAGGCATTTTATAGTGGCAGTATCGATGAACACATGCCTTTCCCTGCTTTCTCATTCCCAAACAAAGGACCTGGGATATATTATTATTTTCAGATTTCCACATTTTCTTGGAGCACAACTTGTTGCGGATTTTTTAAGGAAAGCCCAACGGGGTCCTTTATGCATTTCTGGGACAGAAGGAGGGTTATTGGGCTTTTGTGGGGCTTCTAGCCTCTCTCAGTCTACCCCTCCGCAGCCCTTTCTGGGAGTGTATTAACTGGAGGGAAAACCAGTGTCACAGCGCATTTGTTTCAGCGAGGCTTTGCTTTGTTATGTGAAGAGTCTCATTATGTTCTTCCTGAGACACACGGAGTCCTTAGTCAAGGTCGTCAAGTTAAGTCACTAACTTGGCCCTCTCCTGATGAAATATTTCCTCCATAGCAGAAGTCATGTTCTGACAAGATTCAGAGAAAGTGTTTTGCATTTTGGGAAAACAAAAAGTATAAGCATTAACTTAATAGAGCTGAACTAGGAGCATTCAGTTTAGAATTTTAGGTTATCTCTGAGATGAGGTGGATGCGCCCACCCTCTCTCCTAGCCACTTGGGTGCCAAACTTGCTGTTCAGTGGACGCATCCCATTGCTAGAGCCCTTCGTGGGCTAGGACTTTTCACCTAGGATAGATAGATTCAAGACCTTTACCTCAGAATTATGTAAACTGTGATTGTGTTTTAGAAAAATTGTTTGCTAAAATCAGTTAAGTTTTTGTATATGTGTAAATGATTATGAAAATGTATTTTATAAAATGTTCTGTACAGTAAAGTTACACCCCTAAGGTGTACTGTCGGAGTGGATTCTTTCCCAGAAAGTCTTACCTGCGACTCCGTGTCTCGGGAATGTTTTGCGTGTTACCGTCAGCCAGGTGTCGCTATGGAGAGAGCAGCTTCACACAGATGGCAACACTGCTGTGTGCGCAGTATTGTAGCATGTATTGTTTATTTTAGTCAGTAGACTCCCCTTATAAATGGTGTTTGATCTTCCTGTTGCATTTCATGGGCCTGGGGGTTTCCTAGCAGAGGATAGTAGAGCCCCTTTTTGTGACATTACCAATGACATCTTTGTCTACGTTTAGTACTTTGTATTGGAAACTTTAAATGCTGCGGATTTGTGTAGAGTTCTAATACCAAAGACAGAAGTAACTGTTTTCCATATACTTTGTCTTGCCTGTATGCAGCCCTGTGTAATATGGTGGTAAATTAGAGTGGTATTTCACTTTGTAATATTTTGTAAATATGTCAATACAATAAATAGTTACTACTCACCATAAATTGATTTCTCAAGAATTGAATAGCCTTTTTATTGAATGATTCCATAACTCACGTATGCCAGCCTCATGATTAACATGGAGACACAAGCCCTAATTTTGGCCAGGTTTACTTCAGGGTGCTGCCTAAGCTATAAACAGTGAACTCTAAAATAAACTCAGTAGTTGCAAATAGCATCTAATGATATGTGTACTATGTGCCACACACTGTTCTAAGTGCTTTATGTGAACAACAACCCCCTAACAGGTAGAACCCTGTATTGTCTCCATTTTCAGATGAAGAATCTGAGATACATCAAGAAATTGCAACTTTCCCGAGGCCACACAGCTGGTAAGTGTCAGAGCTGGACTCCGACTTGGGCAGTCTGGAGTATTCCAGAGCCCTGAATAACCACTACCCCATCCTGCCACACTTCACAGGGCAAGAGAGAGATTGAGTATGTTTTTAGGCTTACATAGTCAAGAGGAAATTATTTGACATTGAATAGTGGTTTAAACAATTGAAGATTAATACAGAATTCAGAAATATTCCACTACTCCTGCCCTCTGAAAGCAAACTCCAAACAGATACTGCCTAGAGAGATTGGTGTCCGATTGAGCTGTGGTTTTTCTATTTTGATTGTGCTTTTGCACTAGAAAATAATGACTAGTAAGGCACAGAGACTCAGAGTCAAGTTTCCTTTGGCGGAGCAAGCCTGCAGGTAATTCTCAGGGTGGAGGCTATCTTTAAGGTGGGGTGGGGGAAGAATATTTATTCCTTCTAAGGACCAGGAAAGGCTAGTTCCACAGTAGGCATTTCTGCTTGACTTGATCAACACAACCATGCTCAGAAATAACAAATTCCCCCTATTGTGATTATGATACAGTGTGTTATACAGCCCTCCATTTATTTGAGCAGCCAGATTCCTTTGGTGTCTTTATCGCTCCTCTTTGACATATTAATATTTATGTGACTTTTAGACCTTGTATCAAATCATAACAATCCTCCCCACTGTCAACTGTGGTGAGAATTGCCCCCCCTTAATTTGTTAGTTAACATGAAAATTTAGCCTTTGTAACATTGAAGTATTTTGTCTTCCATCAAGTGATTGAAATAAAATGTGTTAGTAGTTAGTCTTGAGGCATCGTACTTTGTCCCACTTAATTTGACAGCTGCATAAAAGAGTGAAAAAGGCCTGGCCCTAGAAGTCAGACTGCCTGTCTGGGTTCATATCTCATCAGGGCCTCTGCCAGTCAATATGATAACAGCACCTACTTCATAGACGGTGTGAGACTCAACTGAGATCATACATGTAGAGTGGAATATATATAAAGTGGAACTGTGCCTGGCTCATACATAGTCATTTTTGTCATCATCATTGCTGTCATTTTCAGATGGATTTACTGACAAATTTGGGTAGTTGCTGTCTTAATCTTTGAATTTCTCTAGCATAATTAAGGCTCATTTATTGGATTAAGGAGGGAAACTCTTCAGATTCTAAATTGGCCTCTCTAGGAAGGAAATTAAGAACTATTTGGTGTTACAGAAAGAGGGAGAGTTTTAGCATCAGTCAGACCTGGGTTTAAACCCCAGCTCTGCCATTGACTTTTCTGAGCATCAATATCCTCTTCTGTAATAAAGGAATAATTAAAAGTACTTGAGAGAGCTGTTATGAAGAATAAATAATAACATTAAAAAGGCCCCAGGTCAAGAGTCTGGCACATAGTAGGTACTCAAGAAATGTTGGTCTCCCTCCCTTTATGAACTATAAAATACTCAGGGACCAAGTTCCGTACTGTTGCAGGCTAATGCTTTGTTTCTTACACATGGTTTAATTTTCAGCATTGAAATGATAGAGTAAAAGGTATATGTTCAGGAAGATTAATATGCATACCAACAAACAATCTCAGAAGCTGAATTTAATAGCTCCACATTATTTTGACTAGGGAAATGGAATTTTCACACAGCTCATAATCAGCTAGACTGAGTCTATTAGTCACTTCATTTTTCACGGAAACTAGTATTCTGGGACTGTTGGACTCTGACTAGAAATGTCATGCACCCACCTCTGGTCTGGCAGACCTTGGAAGGCACCTAATTGTAAGTCATAAGTCCCAGAATGGAAGTCAAAATGGAATCCTCATTTCTAGTAATTAAACCACAGTGGAAGAAACAGTGATGAAACAAAAATTTTCTTTTAAAGTACTCTAGACACTGGCTCTGTTAGAAAGTTCTAGAACTTTTAGGCACAATGTGATTATATGACCAACGCACACAGCCGGACAGGGAGAGGCCTTAGTGCAGAAATAGAGTGAACATGTAAGTCATTTCACGCTCTGTCCTTTACTGGACGTTGGGGTCCAGGTTGAGTCCTGAGTAAGGGGAAGGTGAACTCTAGAATGGTCAGTGCCCAAGGTCGTGCAGATGGAAAATGATGGCAAAGTCGACTCAGCCCCCGTTATCCTGGCTCCAAGTCAAATAAAGGCTCTTTACGTTCGTCTATGATATACCAGCAAACAGGACCTTGTGATTTTCCGGAATTATTTCTACAGTTCCTAAGGCCTTCCTCCTGGGAATGATCTGGGTAGCTGCTGGGATCCTAGGCCAGGGTCACAATCCTTGCAGCTCTTGCTGTCAGTCTGTATTGATGAGTTTGAAATGTGTCAATAAACATCATAGTGACTCAGGAGTCTGATCGCTGACTGTGTGTGGATTTTCTAGTGATCAGAATGACCTCTCCACAGAAAGGGAAAAGTTTCTTATTGTTGTTTTTCGCCCCCATGATAATTTAAGGTCGGTCTCCTTTTCTCATTTAGACATGTCTTTTTTTTTTTTTCTTCCCTTTTGGTACTGGTACCTGCTAAATAGTGTGCTAGAGTGCGCCAGGCATTTGTTGTATATGATCTCATTTATCTCGTGTAATCCTCCGAGGGTCCATTAAAGATTGGTATCATCCCATCTTTTAATCATGAAAACTCTAGCCCTAGTTTAGTAACACTTCTACACTAAAGCTGGTTTTTAAGGCTGTCTGACCTGAATTACTGTTCTATATGACCTCTCTTTTTGTCTAAGTAGCAGTGTAGACTAGTAGTTAAGGCCTCAACTTTTGAACCAGACTGTCTGGCTCTACCACTTACTACTGTTTGACCTTGGGCAAGTTGCTTAAAATGCTTATTCTTCTGTTTCTCCATAGTTAAAAAGAAGGGATGGCAGTACCTTATTTCACAGAGTTTTTGTGAGGACTAAATAACATCTGTAAAATGCTTAGAAAATTGCCTGGCAGAGAGTAAACACTGAGTAAACAAGAGTTTTTTAAAGTTGCATTTTGGCCACCATTTTAAATATACGTACAAAAATAAACGTTACAATTCTTTGTTTGTTTTGTTTTGTTTTGTTGTAGAGACAGGGTTCTCTCTGTCTCCCAGGATGCAGTGCAGTGGTGTGATCACCGCTCCCTGTAACTTCAAACTCCTGGGCTCGAAGTGATCCTCCCACATCGGCTTCCGGAGTAGCTGGAACTACAGGGTATGGTACAAATTTTAAAAGTTAACTCAGATATTAAAAAGAACCACTCCCTCTGAAAGTATATTAGTCTATGGAAGAAACATTAGTAATGCTTTAAAAATAACGCACAATGGAGCACGAATCAAACGCTCTACTAGAGCATGGTATATCAGTTATCTGCTGCTACATAACAAATTCTGCACTCCAGAACTTTGCAGTTGAAGACAAGCATTTATTACTTCACAGTTTCCGAGGGTCAGAAATCAGAGAGTAGATTAGCCGGGGATTTCTGGCTTAGGATCTCCCATGAGGCTTCTATTGAGGTGTCAACCAGGCTGCAGTGATCTCCGGGCTCAACTGGCGGAGAATCTGCTCCCAGGTTCACCCATGGGGACCTCTGCACACGGCTGCCTCACGACATGGCAGCTGGCTTCTCCCAAAATAAGCATCCAAGAGTGAAAGAGCCAGAGCACTCGAGATGAAAGTCTTTTTATAACAATCTCAGAAGTGACAACCCATCGCTCTGCTCTATTCTATCCCTCAGCATGGAGGGACCGGATCCAGCTCATGCTCAAGGGGAGGGGGGCACACAAGGGCTGAACACCAGGACAAAGGGATTGTCGGGGGCCAGTGTAGTGGCTGCTCGCAACAAATGGGTAAATCGGAAGGTCATGGAAGCCAAATATGACAGTCTGAAAGGCATGAGTTACTTAAGAGACATTTAGTTGAATCTAAATTTAGTTCTTTATAAAATACAATTTCCTGTTGATTCCTTAAATCAATATTTACTCAAAAACCTACCTAAGGGGTACAATGAACAGTACCATCTGGGTGATGGGCACAGTTTTAACTCTGACTTGAGCATTACAAAAGTGGTCCATGTAACTAAAAACACTTGTACCCCCATAATACTTTGAAATTAAGAAAATATATACTTACTGAACCTATTCTACCAGCCTCTACGAGGGATACAAGGAAGAATAAGAGAGGAAGGTCTCCCCAGGGGAGCTCATTTCAGAAATGCCCTTCCTGAGGCTTAGTGTGTTGGGTGAAGGGGGGTGTCCAACTTGTCAGAAGGCACTCTGCCCCACAGCAGCTCAGAGAAAAGTGCAAGCAGCAACCAGTCATGCCTTGGAAGTAGCTGTTGAAATTTTAAAACTCTAAAATCCCCAAATGTGTGGCACTTCATTCATTCATTCATTCAGCAAATATGTATTGAATTCCTTGTGTGCACTTCACAGTTCTAGGCTTTGAAGATACAAAGATGAACCTGACATAATTCCTACACTTGAGGGCCTTGCATGCTTGCAGGTGGTGACAAGCAATAAACAGATACATAACGTTAGGCACTCATGAGTGTTATTGAGGAAGAAAAGCAAAATACATGTGGAGAGTGTTATAACATAGGGCGATCAAGGGAAGGTTTTATGAGTAAATGATTTTTTTTAGCAGATATCTAATTTAAGTGAGAAAGGAAAAAATTTGTGAATATCTGAGTACTTAGTGTTCAGAGAACAACGAGGG